CAGGCGCGCCCGGGACCCCGCGCCCCGCCTTGGCTACGTCGGTCCTGGCTGGGCTCCCGGGACGCCAGCGACCCGAATCGGAGCCGTCCCTGCTCCGGGCCCGCTGGGGCCTCATGGGGACCTCACCACGCTCTGTGCCCTAAAACAGCACGCGGACCAGGAGGACTTGGCGCCTGCTCACCCGTTTCCACGAGTTCCTCCTTTTGCTGACCCCCACCTGTGCTGCTGCGCACCCCATCCTGCGGTGAGCTCTGGCTCTGTCTCTCAGGCTTAGGATAAGGCTTCTCTTCCAGTAGAAGAAGATCTGGCCCCTAGTTTCATTAGGGTCTTAAGTGTTATTTCAAAGAGGTCTTCCCTAACCACCCAATCTAAAATCACCAAGCAGTCCCTCTAAGTCACATTACCTTATGCTAATTGATTGCTCAGCACCTTTCCCTGTCTGATACTTTCCCTGTTAGGTCTTCCTTATCACTGCCTAACACAGATGTCATTGTGAGCTGCATCCCTAGAATTTAGAAAAGGACCTGCTATGTGGTGGACGTACAGAGTTAGAGTGAACGCTTGTAATTATTGCAGCCCTGACACATTCTAAGTGCTCCAAAAATGGATGAAGTACTACGTGGCCATCCAAAGGAATACAGCATAACGGGGCAGGCAGTTATGTGTAGTAATGGCTCCTGGAGGCAGGACCAGCCTCAAGGTTGTACAACCTATACTGGTACACAGGTCTTCCAGGTTAGAAAAAGCTGGCACTTGGTGTAATGCTCTTTGTCACCATCTTAAAATTCTTAAATTCTCTACAAGGAGTCCTGCATTTTTCTGTTACACTGGTCTTGACAAGAAATACCTAGCCCTTCCGTGCCTAGATGTCCCCTGCTTCATGTTTTACGGGAAGAGGCCCTTGGTCCGCTGGTTCCCTTAGATAATACACCACAACATTGGGAGATATTAAGTCCACTAAATGAGGAACATTTTAAAAGTTTTATTTTCCCAGCTGAGTGTGGTATCGTATACTAAATCCCAGCTACTCAGAAGCTGAAGCAACAGGATGAGCTCAAAGCCAGCCTGGTCAATACATAAAAACCCCCATCTCAAAAAAAAAAAAAAAAAGTTTTTTAGAAAAACTTTTTATTTTCACTTCTGAAATTAACACATTATAGTGCTTCTTAGGCTTTAGGGGGCACAGACCCATTTGGGAATTTAAAAATAAAGCTATAATCCATCTCCCTAGGAAAATACCTCTGCATGTAAAATTTGTTCTTACAGACACTCATGACTCCAGCACTGCACCCTGGAATGGGGAAAAGAAGAGGTTTCAGTCCTGGGCTCTGAGCCAGAAATGTCTAACTTAAATTCCCCTTATTGCTGCATGGCTTGTCACAGTCTGCAGCACTCAGGACCCTTACAGACACGACAGTAACAGAAGAGGGTTCAAGGCAAAGGGGTACACCCTAGTCAGAACTTGGTATGACTTTAAGAAAGAAATTGCCCTAAGCAAGTTGTTTAATCTATCTGAGCTTTATGTTGTTATCTCTAAATTGCTATGAAAATAAGTAGTTTTCTAAATTGCAACTGATTTTACAGTTGGGTGCAAAGTCCTGAGAGGGCTAAAAAGTGAATATAGTCTTTGGATTCAAGAAGTTTAATGTGCAGCATTAAAAGCAAAACACTGTTTCCTGGTCCTTTAGGCTTCAAATTACAGAAAACTGTGATTTACTGGCTTGGATGATAAGGAAATGTATTGCTTCTTGTAGTAGGCAGTCCAGAGGCACAACGGGCTCCAGCATCAGTTGATGTGTGGCTTAATAATATCATTAAGAGCCCTTGTTTCTCCTCTCAGGCTGAGAGCAAGCTGGCTGTCACTTTTTGGCAGGTCGTATGCAGACATCCAGGGGCAGAAAGGACATATTCTTCCATACCTTCTTCCAAGGCTTGGGAACTTTCCAAGAATCCTCCCAGAAGACTTACCCAACATGTCCTTGGCCAGAAATGTGTCATAGATCGATAGAGGGGATCACTCATTGGATTTCCAATCATCTAGAATGCAGTGGATGCTGGAGAATCTCCACAATGCCTAATACAGACACATAAATAAACATAATAACAAGGTGTGGTGGCACACATCTGTCATCCCAGCTATTTAGGAGGTTGAAGCAGGGAGATTGCAAGTTCAAGGCCAACCTGGGCAACTCAGCAAGACCCTGTTGTGAAATTTAAATAGATAGATAGATAGATAGATAGATAGATAGATAGATAGATAGATATATGCTAAGGATGCAGCACAACACTCCCTGGGTTCAATCTCTAGTGTCACAAAATAGTAATAGTAGTAACGATAGCAAACACATCTGGGCCTGGTGGGGCACATCTGTAATCCCAGCTCTTGAGAAGCTGAGGCAGAAAGATCAATTCAAGGTTCAAGGCCAGCCTCGGCTACATAGTGAAACCCTGTCTCAAAAAACCACATCAGGTCTGATGTGATAAAAGAGCCAGACTACTACATATCAGGGGAAAGAAATAATTTCATAGAAGTGTGGTCATGTTCTGAGAACATCCAAGAACTCGGTTGATTATGTGGTACAGCGAGGGGTCATGAGAAAGATGAAGCTGAGGCTCCATTTGTGGCCAGATGTTTAAAGCCCTGACATCCCAAGTCAGGGACTAGAGCTTCCTTTGGTGAGAGAGAAATGAATGCGGCAGTAATGTCCAAAAAGAGTTTCAGTGGGTTTAAAAGAGTAACATAGTCACCAAGAAGAGGCAGGAAACCCAGGTTCTATGTCTGGCCTGCCATTAATTCATAGGACAATTTACACCTAGCTGTGAGTTCTGCAGTTCCAAACCATAAAGACACTGCATCACCCAAATGGAAATGAGAAAAACTAAAGTAAGAGAAGTGGCCCTAGGAATAAGAAGTACAACATGGATTCTGAAGGTAGTAGAGACCAGAAAAGGAGAAAGGAAACAGAGAAGTTTCCAGAACAAAAAGGAGTGCTGCCATCAACATAGTCAGGAACATATGTTAGATTTGACATGTTAATGGGACATCATGCAGGGGCTGGGGATTTAGCTCAGTGGCACAGCACCTGCCTGGCAAGCGCATGGTCGAGAATTTGATGCCCGGTACCAGAAAAAAACCCAACCCCCACCCCCACCCCCACCCCCCGCAAAAAAAAAGGGACATCATGCAGACAATTTGGCCTTGGGCCTAGAGTTTATAAGGGAAACAAGGCAAGCGACTTATAATTATGTGTCAGCTGCATGGAATGATGGTAGAAGCCTCAGCCTAGGTGTCTTCATTGAGTCAAAGAAGAAAGACAACCCGGGCCATTGAAGGAAACCTGAACAAACACCACCGCTGGGAAGGGAGCCATCTGGAAAAGTCAAAGGATGGCCTGTGTGTCAAATTCTTTGTAAAAAGTTCAGGACCAAGAAAAGGCCATGAGAGGGGCTGGGGATTTAGCTCAGCGGCAAAAGCGCCTGCCTGGCAAGCGCAAGGTCGTGAGTTTGGTTCCCGGTACCGGAGAAAACACCAAAAAAAACAAACAAAAAAAAACAAAAGGCCATGAGAAAGAAAAAAAGAAAAGGCCATGGGCTTTAGAAATTAGGAAGTGGAAAAAAAAAAAAGGAATTAGGAAGTGAACGGTGTTTTAGGGAAGACCATTGCGATTGAATGGTGGCCAGGAGTCCGAGTGGCGTGGAGTGGGGCCAGTGTGCGCAGACTACACCCTGGGGAAGTTCCAGATTGATAAGAGAGATGCAGCAGAGGCAAAGCAAGGGCAAGTGTTTGGATTCGGCCCTGTTTTAGATAGCACAGACAGAGGTGGACGTACTGTGAAGTAAGCTTCAGGCCCCTTCTGCTTACCCAGGCCCCTTCTAAGTAAATATTAACTTCTGTTCCTAATTGGATATTTATAATTTTATTTTGTCTTTCTTTGTTTTTTGCAGTTCTGGGGATCAAATGCACGTCAGGCAAGTGCTCTGCCACTGAGCTGCTCCCTCAGCCCTGTATTTTTATTGAGGAGAGCTCCTAAGAGTGAATACGCTGCAGACCCTTTAAGCCCTGGCTCTGGCCCTCAGAAGAGAGCCATTTATAGGCAATGAAAACTGGAGATATGAAAAAGAAGATAAAAGGAGGGACTAGATCCTGGAAGAGGAAATGAGAAATGGGCTAAAGAGTTTAACAGGGCCAGGGATAGAGCTCAGTGGCCTAAGCGCCTGCCTGGAAAGCACAAGGTCCTGAGTTCAATTCCCCGTACCAAAAAATAAATAAATAAATGAAGAGTTTAACTGGAAAGGAATTCCTCTTTCCAAGCAGAAGGGCAAGGGCACAGCAGGCTGGGGAAAGCACAGGGCAATGCATCACACTGGCAGGGGGACAGTTGAGAATCATGGTGCAGAATAAATAACCCTGATCCCATCGAAGCAGGGTTGGAGATTAGCAAGACAGATACATACAAAAGTCAGAAGCAAGAGAGTGCTGGAATAATTTATTAAAAATCTCCATCATGAACCGGGCATGGTGGCACATGCCTGTAATCCCAGCATTTGGGAGACTGAGGCAGGAAGATCATTGCAAGTTTGAGACCAGCCTGGGCTACCAAGTGAGCTCAAGGCCAGCCTGAACTGTACAGTGAGACCCTGTCTCAAAAAGACACACACACACACACAAAACAAAAAAAAACAAAAAAAAAACAAACACCTCCATCATGGAGTCTCACCGGGAGGTCGTGAAGGACCATGAGGCAGAGTCTGGGAAGACTCAGGGTGGAAAGGGATTGAGACCAGCCACAGGCTGTGTGCTGGAAGAATTTTATATTTCATGAATCTGAACAAATCCCCAGAAGACCGTACTCCATGCCATTCTATTCTAACACATGTCTTTGTTTTTTGGGTTTTGTTGGTACCAGAAATCAAACTCACAACCTCGCACTTGCCAGGCTGAGCTATATCCCCGGCCCTTTCTACATATGTTTTAGAGCTGAGTCAGATGTCATCTCCTTCATCAAGCTTCCCCTAATCCCTTAAATTGAATGTCCTCTCTCTTTTTCTTCAATTTCCCACCATGAGCCTTTTACAACACTTAGTGCATTCTGCCTTTGTTATGACTAGCTAGTTTCATGTTCATCCCCTCTGCTCGACTAGGAACTGTGTGTCTTAATCCTTTTCCTAGCTGTAGCACACAGCCCAATCCAATCCCTGAGACATAGAGAAATCCCTTAAGCGATCCTTAAGTGAATATAGTCTACTGGGAGAGAAAGCCAGGGGATCTCCAGAGAGACGCTGTGAGCAAATTGTGGAAGAAGTGGTCTGGTTTCGTGAAAATGTCGAGGAAGCTGCAAAGGGCTCTCCCTGTCTAAAGCACACAGAGCAGCATGTGGTCACGTGGACCCAGACAGCCGCAGAGCTCCTCGGAAACTCAGCCCTGCTGAAACAAACAAGTGATTCATTATTCTCCCACAGCCAACTCAGCCAGGAAATTTCCTAGGCTAACATTTTCTTAAGTTCAGATTCTAGCTTCTAATAAGACTCCTAACTTTGATTTTAGTTTTAGTTAGTGATGCCAGGCATTCCTCTCTTGCTCATATTATGAGCAGCTTCTAAGCCAAAGTGCAAACACCTGGAAACTGTGAATCCTCAAGCACATCTGCATAGGCGTGTTATTCTGCACTGAGGGAAAAGTTCTATACCTGCCACTGTCTGGTGGCTCCTAATTTGAGTAGCGCAGCACTGGCTTTAATATCCGGGGCAGCTTGGTGTAATACTTTTTAGGACATATTTGTCCTACCTTAGTCCTTAAGAGTAGTGACAATTACTGATACCTCCAGTGTCTAACATTTAGTGCTTAATAAGTGTTTGTCAAATGAATGACTAAAACTCAAGTTCCACATCTTCCCTAGACTTAGTGTTCTGAAAAGGATGTGTTTTAAAATACCTTGTAGAGCAGCTCAAAAAATTCTAGTTAGCAAACATTCCTGCCAGGTGTGGTGGCGCGCACCTGTAACCCCAGCACTCAGGAGGCCGAGGCAGGAGGATCTGTGCAAGTTTGAGGGCATCCTGGGCTACAAGGTAAATTCAAGGCCAACCTGAAATGCATAGCAAAACCCTGTCTCAAAACTACCAAAAAAAAAAAGAAACAAAAAAACAGACCCTTCACTTGACACATTTATTGCTGATTCTACCTAAATTATAAATACCATATTAGTGCAAATGTTATAGTTAATATAACACTGAGTGAGCAGGGCCTGGAAGGAATTTCACTGGACCAGAACATATATCTTCTTTTTAAGAACATCTGTGGTGCCAGTGTGGACGCACAAGCCTGTGATCCCAGCATTCAGGAGGCTGAGGTAGGAGGATTGCCATGAATTCAAGTCCAGCCTGAAATACATACTGTCTCAAGAAACAAAACAAAAACCAGTAACGCATACACACACACATACCACACACACATGCATACACATTCCTCATCCATTCCATAGTCACATGCATACAAAATGTTCTTTGGAATGGCTAAGGCTGATGAATAAATATGTCCAGATCTTTCTAGATCCAATCATCACATACCTTTAACCTAGTACTTAAAATGTAAGCATTTATCCTAAAGAATGAATTAAACCTGTGTGTTGAGATATAGTTACCAAAAGAAAGGGTGGCAAGAAACAGTTACAAGGGAATTGGGGAAATCTAAACATTAAGTATTTGATGATAAACTGGAATTATTTAATTTCTTATGTGTAACAACAGTATTGTTATTACTATCTTTTTGTTGTTGTTTGTCTTTTTGAGACAGGGTCTCGCTATGCAGTCCAGGTTGGCCTTGAGCTCACTTTGTAGCCCAGGCTGGTCTTTTTTTTTTTTTTTTTTGGTATTAGGAATCAAATTCAGGACCTTACATTTGCCAGGCAGGTGCTTGTGATGCTGAGCTATATCCCCAGCCCCTAGGCTGCTCTTGAACTTGTAACAATTCTCCTGCCTCAGCCTCTTGAGTGCTGGGATTATAGGTGTGCACCACCACACCTGTGTACTGTCATATTTTTAAATGAGGGTCCTTATCTTTTGGATATATTTATGGATGAAGTATAAGAACAAAGATTTAGTTAAACTGGGCATGGTGGTGCACCCCTGTAATCCTAGCACTCGGGAGGCTGAAACAAGAGGCTCAATATGAGTTCAAGGCCAGCCTGGGCTACAAAGTGAGCTCAAGTTCAGCCTGAACTGCATAGTGAAACCCTGTCTCAAAAAAGACATACACAAAAAATGATTTGGTTAAAATGTTTATCCCAGCTCTTGTTATCATTGTAAAAGATAAAAAAGTATCCGGAGTTTTAGAATAGTCTTAGAATTGGACCTAGCACGCATTTTGGTCTGTTCTTACAGTGGAGTAACATGGGACTGTTGCACATATCTGGAAGGACACCCCAAAACATTAACACAGTTACTTTTTGTTACTGCTTTTCAAGTGATTTCCAATTTCTATATTTATATTTTCTTAAATATTGAGATATATAATATCAGGGGATATATACATTATTAGCATAAATCTTAAATTGATTTATAGACATTTAAGTTAGAGAGAGTTAAGTCACAAATAAATTTTATAAAGAAAATGTAAGGATCCTGTGCACATTTGGCTAGTTTCTTGTTGTTTTGGGTTTTGCTTTGGTCTTTTCTGAGACAGGATCTTGCTGTGCAGTTCAGGCCAGCCTTGAGCTCACTTTGTAGCCCAGGCTGGTCTTGAACTCACAACAATTCTCCTGCCTCAGCCTCCCAAGTGCTGGGATTACAGGTGAGCGCCACCACACCTAGCTTGGTTTTTGCTTTTTTTTTTTTTATTTATTGTGCATGTCAATATGCCCTCATGATAGGGGACTGCTACTACTGCCAATCAAATCTTTGACTCTTAGTTTTAGATATTCATCTTTTTTTTCTTTTCTTCCCCTTAATTGTGTTCATTGCCCAGTTTCATAGTAAGAATTCCACTGGACATACAGCCACCTAACAAGAGACTATCTTTTCTAACTTCTCTTGCAGGTACATGTGGCCACCCAGCCAAGGTTGGACAGTGGGGTGTACCTGGAAAAGATAGATCCACCTCCAAGTTCTGCCTTTGAACAAAGTAGTTTTCTTTTTTTTAAAGGATAGCTCGGGTCGGGGATATAGCTCAGCAGCACAGCGCCTGCCCGGTAAGTGCAAGGTCCTGAGTTTGATTCCCAGTACCAAAAAATAAAAAAATAAAGGATAGCTCATGTTGTCTTCAATGCCCTAACTTTACCCTATTTCCTCCTGAGGAAAAGCTGGACCAGAACACCATCCTGTACTCCATGATGGAAACTACGTGTTAATGAAGGAGCCACCCTTGTCACTCTGGATAATATAATCCTTGTTATGTAATAGAGAAACAGCTTTCTCATTTAAGCACTGTATTTTGGCTTTTTTTTTTTTTTTTTTTTGGTTTGTTTTTGAGACAGGGTCTCGCTATGCAGTTCAGACTGGCCTTGAGCTCACTTTGTAGCTCAGGCTGGTCTCGAACTTGCAATGATCCTCCTGCCTCAGCCTCCCGATGCTGGGATTACAGGCGTGCGCCACCATGCCCAGCTAAGCACTGTATTTTGGATTCTTTTTGGTATAACGTGTTAGCCTGTACCTCCCTATTGTACCCTAACCAATACACTGTCATTCTCTCAAGACTGTTTATTTTTCCTTTTCTCTTTATTTCTCCTATTGGATTCTGCCTTTTAGTACACCTCTTCAGTCCTTCCTGGAAAGACATAGGTAATTTTAAAAATAAATAATTAAACCTCCATGATGGCTTTGCTGTTTTCTTGGCTGCCAATCGCACTTTGAATCATCTACTTTGGGGAAGCTTTTGGCAAGGATAAACAAAGGCAGGGATTAGTCAAAGTGAGGAAAACAGGCTTTATTCAGTAGCTCCTGACAGTTGGAGAAAGAGCTGAGCACCGTTCCAATCTGCGCAGAGGTGACTGGGAATTTCAGAGTGTGAATATGGATGGGGAAGGGAGTGAACCAGGACTAAGGAAAATCGCCGAGGGTTGTGTAAGTGTGATTAGCCCGGAGGTGACTGCCAGCTGGCCATAATCAAAGTAAGGATTTATCCTCCCACCGAGACCCGGAGGCAGATGTCCTGCACTTCCTGATGGTATTTCAAAGCGATGACTTTCAGGTCCTCCAGCAAAACACTGCTGAGTTGCAGAAGATACATATGTATCTCAGAGAGATAAAGTATTCACAGTGATAAGTCCTTTTTAGTAAATGCTCTAAGAAAAGGAGGTTGGGGGCCTATCATAGGTGTTGGCTAAAACAAACAGTAAATATTTCAGACATCCTGAGCTGTTCCAGGCAGGAACTTAAAAGGGGCCTGGGTTGTCCCATGACACACCTAAGGCTGCCAGAAGCCATGCTAAACTTCAGTCAAGTCCCCTACTGCAGGAGTTTGCATGGAGTGTTTGCCAGGCCCCACATTATGAGCCCCGCCTCCTACGCCCCACAGGAGTAGGAGAGCTCCTGTCTCCAGGCTCCCTCCAGCTGGAGGGCAGGCATTTCTACCCAAGTCCTGAAGGCATCCGTGAGCACAGGAGGAAGTAGCCAGGCTCAGGAAAAATGGCCTTCAGGGAAGCCTGGTGGTAAAGATATTGGTACTTGAGGGAGCATGGCAAGCCTCATCTGAGAGGGCATAAGGGCCACACGTGGCATTACTTGCTGCTCTTGGAGCCAGCTGCCACCGCTGGGATGAATGCCAACTTTGGCAATGCTGTTAGGAGTGCAGAGGCCAAATAGGAAAAGAAAATTTCTTCGCCTTTCCCTAGCCTCTCAGTCACCTCCAAGAACTCCCTGCTGCCCTGTAGGCTAAGATGAAACATGGTCCGCAGGCCAGCACCTCAAGCTGAGTAGAGAGCGTGGGCTTGAAGCCAAGAGATGATAATGTAATCTCCAGCACAGGTCTAAGAAATAAAGGCAGAACACGTCCTTAGGTGCACATTATTTTTCACAGTGGAATACGCATGATATTTCCTTCATTTATCTCTTTCCTTTTTGGTCTGATCTCTTTCCCTAAATGAGCTCCTTGGGCCAGGGATATAACTCAGCAGCACAAGCGCCTGCCTGGCAAGCGCAAGGTCATGAGTTTGATTCCGGGTATCAAAAAAAAAAAAATTTAAAAATTAAAAAAATATAAGTGAGCTCCTCTACTCTAACAGCTTCAGTCACTGTCTCTATGACATGACCCCCAAGTTCCTGTTTCCAAAGCAGACCTCTTTCCGGCACTGCAGTCCTGCCTTCTCTGGGCCTTTTCCTCTTCATCCCCCAGGGTTCTAAGAATGACATGCGAGACACTGATCTCCCCCACCCCCAGGCCCACTCCTCCAGCAGCGTTCATTGGCTTCAGGAGTTGCCATCTCCCCCATCTGTGCTAGCACCAGGAGTTACTCTTAATATCACCCCTCATCCCCATTTTCACATTGCTAGAGGACCAAGCTGCCCTCTAAATATTGTGATGCCTGCCTTTTTTCCCCCCACTAGGCCTATCCCGGCCCAAGCCCCCATCCTCTCTTGTGTAAGGTATGTAACTCCCTGCATCCAATTGTGCTCCCCATCTGTGCTCCCTATCTGTTTGAAACTTGCCATTGACTTCCCACTACACCTCTGATAGAGTCCAGAATCCTGGCCATAGCTTACAAGGCTCTGAATGCCCTGGCTTTGCCCACCTTTCCAACCCACTTTCTATCTTGAAACCATTCATATACCAGGCCACAGGGCTGTCTGGAGTTATTTCAAAGCTCTGTATCTTTCCTGTCCTGGACCACCTGCCAGGCCCTTCCCCTCCCAGTTGTCTACTCAACCTTCGAGTCTTAGCTCAAGGTCACTGAAAAGAATCACAGAAGCCTTCCTGCATCTCACCATCCCTACTCCCACTTGGGCTAGGTGAAGCTGCTCCTGTACACTGTAATATCATTAGTGTCCTCGAGTCCCTTTTAGTATTCAACAATTTTGTCATTGTTTATAACATACTTATTTGTGTAATGTGTCTTATTATTCTATATAAGCTCCAAGAAGATGATGTCTATCTTGCTGTAGATCTAGCATGTATCACAATGCCAGGCATGTAACACCAGTGTTACAATAAATATCTCATGAATGAATGAATGAACGAATAGAGAGAGGACTACTTTGAGAGGCAGCATAGCTTAGTAGAAATTACACTGGGCATCAGCCACAAGACCTGGATTCTAGCCTTGGTTTCATTATTTCTGGGATAATCATCACCAATCACACATCTCATTGAGCTTTGGTGTCCTAGCCTAACAGAAAGGGGTGACATTCTCTTGAGATTTCTTCAGTTTCCAAAATGCAGCGAGTATTCTGAGCTTTTTTTGTTTGTTTGTTTGTTTTTTTCTGGTACCGGGAATTGAACTCACGACCTTGCACTTGCCAGGCAGGTGCTGTGCTGCTGAGCTAAATCCCTAGGCTCTGCAGTGAGTATTCTGTTCTGGTGATGACCCCGCTGGCCATGTGAAAAGGTGTCTCTACGTAAACTCTGATTCTGGAGGGAAGAGGAGCATCTTCCCCAGGCTTCCCAAGTCACCTCTCCCAAGTCTTCCCAGTTTCACCACCTCTGACATCATCCCCAAATCAAACTTTTGGTTTGATTACAGAGTAAATATCCCTTATTTCCCCCAAACCAATATCCGACCCATCTGATTGGGAGATTACAGAATAATAAAAGCTAAGGTGTGCCCAACTTTCAGCAAAGACAGGAAGCTGGTTCCCCTAAAACAACTTCCCCTCTTGGGCTCAAGCATGATGGGGTCAATTCCATGCAAGCCTCTGGATGGTTCTTTATACCCACTAGCTCTCCCTGGGGGAAGATACCATTCAGAAGGGAGAAAGGCATGGGGCCGAAACCAGAAGTTGGCATAAACCCTCACTTCATTCACAATGGGCCTGGGATGGGTTGGGGCCTGCTGGCTTGTGGGTGTGTCAGGCATTCTGAGAATTCATGTCAAACAAAATCACTCCTCTGTAGCAGGAAGGGCTGAATCATGAGGTGCTGACAGGTTGTCTGGTTTTCCCACCCTGTTCCCTTGAACTTTCCCTTCCGGTTCCTCAACCCACTCCCAAGGTCATCGAACCACCTAAGGGAGCGAGGCCGGTTCCAGTCAGGAAAGGTTACTTCCCAGTCCCTACTCCCCATGGTTGCCCCTAGTCACAGACAGCTGGAGATCCTGCAGGCCTCTCAGGAACAGCACCATTACACTCAGTGGAACCAAAAAAAAAAAAAAAAAAGCATTTGACACCGGAGACCCTGGGGCCCCATAGAATTGAAATGCTTCCTATTTGCACCAGGCTATCAGGGGTGTCCTGCACTCACGATGCTAAGGAGGACAGCCATGAGAAAGATCACCCTGCAAACAAAATATCACATTCGCACAGAATCTGAGCCATAACAAGCTTCTTCAGAGGACCTTTCTAAACAAAGCAACTTGCTAGTTTGCTCAGCTCAGGGCAGACCAGCCAGCTAAAACTGTGAGTATTTAAGCGAAAAGCAGCTGCGTCCTTCAGGAAATACAGCCTTCTCTTTTTTTTTTTTTTTAATGCGGTACTGGGGATCGAACTCATGACCTTGCACTTGCCAGGCAGGCGCTTATGCCACTGAACTATATCCCCAGGCCCCACAGCCTTCTTCTGATCCGCACAAATGTGCTGTATGAGCTCGTGGTGCCACTGGCTCGGAACCCCAGATATGAAGATGAAGTCCTTCTCAGGAAGAAGCAAGGGTTCATGCGGAGCCTTTATTCTTTTCTGAACTTCCTGCAAAACATCTTATTTCTTCAAAAGAGCATCTGAGCCAGGTGTGGTGGTGCACACCTGTAATCCCAGCACTCTGGAGGCTGAGGCAGGAAGATTGTTGCAAGTTCGAGACCAGCCTGGGCTACAAAGTGAGCTCAAGGCCAGCCTGAACTGTACAGTGAGACCCTGTCTCAAAAAAAAAAAAAAAATTGATCATTTCTCCAGTAGCCACCTGTCATCCACCTCCTTGGTGCTGGCAGAGTGCTACATGATGCAGACGTATCAGCAACCATTTCCCAAGAGCAAGCACATGGCACTCTTAAACTAGGATGATTCAAGGTTTACTGAAAGTACACCATGACAATTTATAAAGGTGTAGCTATGAGTTATCATAGGAAGAGTGAAGTAACCTAGAGTTAGTTGCAGCCAAGCTGTTATTCTCCCTAGGCTCAGAAGGGTGTATTGGGAGTTGGAATAAAATAATCAGGTAGAGCAGTGTTACTCAAAGTGTGGTTCACAGATCTGTATGGGTCTGTCAACTGCCACCAGTCCACGATGAGAGGCGGACAGCAATCAAGAGTAGATGTTTAGAAAATTGTACAGCAACTGGCCATTGTCA